AGGCTGGATCACCGGCTTGGTTCAGAGCTACAAGTATGTGACACTTGCTAGAACTTGAGCTGATGGAGAGACCAAAAGCAGTTACAGGTTGCTGGTCATCTAGTACAGAAAATTTCAAACCAACCAATGAATAATGAACTACAGACAGACTCTTAACAGTTGATGTTGCCCAATACTTTCCATTATAATTTCCATTACTCATACCTATGTGCAACAGTTTCCTTCAAGTGATTTATTTTAAGCTGCAAAGTTTCTGTTTCAGTAAGTTGGATGTATTCAGTTCTGATTTTTTTATATGGCACTATAAGTGGAGGAATTCTAGTGGAAAGGTCCTATAAGCTATTCATCTGTCTTCCAAAAAAGTTATGTACTTCCTCAAAATAAATGCAGAGATAACTCTCTTGCCATCATCTGAAAAACAAATTGTAGCTTGTAAATATACTGTAATCCTCAGATGTGCAATGTTTGGTTAAAAGGAAGATGATTAGGCTTCATCTAGAAGGAGACATTAGCAGCATCTTGAAGAGCTTATACTCAAAAGAAACACTACTCAATGGAGACCACAGAGCAACTACATTTGCACAAGTGTCTCTTATCTAATAAACTAAAAACTGAAAAAGTCTACTGTCAAAACCTGCAAGCAGTAGCTATGTAACTTACTAAACTTTGATGTAAAATGTGACGCAGCTCATTCGCTACATTGTTATGTGACAGTAGGAACACTACAGTTAGAACTGCAAATCTTTTATAACGAAAGTGGAAAACATCTGAAACAGGCAATTTGGGAGCTGAACATGGAAATTAGCAGTCACATTTTGAGCAAAACCATTGTGGGACCTGTGAGTCACTCATCAATAATCAAATGGGAGCTTTTGCTCGCCTCCAAGGCAGAAAGCTTCCTAAGTTTAAAAATAAATAAAAAAATAATAATAAATAAAAAAAGATGGTTTAGTCTAATTATATTAGAACTAGGTCATCATACTCCTTGTAACTCTACTCAAAGCACAACAGAAAAATGTGATTTCACATAAAGCAGAGAAATGGAGCAAAATACATTCTTCAGTGGACTTGCAGATTCCCAAGGACCATTTCCTACCCAATACTGACATGTATTTTAAAATATAAATCTCTGGAATGAGTCAATTCATAATTTCTCATGTGCTACTCATGCTTGCTGTTTCCCTCCTATCTGTTAGTATTTACAGATCCCTTTCCAATCACCCACACACTCAGATGGAATTCCAGGTGTCTGGCATCACCAGTGTGCTGTAATTTTTCTATTTACATGAGTAATCTCAAGTGTCAGAACAAATATTTCAACGACTAGTGATTAGGTGAAAAATACATAAGGGTATTATGGTTTTAGAGCATGCTGTTATTTCAGCAGTCACACAAATCATTTAGTAGTACAGGACAGACTGAAAATGGCACTCACTGAGGGAAATTACTATGCTGTGTATGATTGTACCTGTTTTACAGACGACTAAACTGACACAGGCAAGTTAAAATGCCTTTCTCAAAGTTGAGCAATAAGTCGGTGACAGAGTTCTCAGCACCTTTTCTACCCCTTTAAGACTTTCCATTTTTAAACAACCCAAAGGGATCCCGGTGCCACTGAAAACTGGATTTACAGTGCTTACAGTCTTCTCCCTGTGAGAAGACCTTGAAGGCCTTCAAAGATCCCCAGGATTTAATTTGAAGAGCAAGGCTGCAATCACTTCCAAAATGTCAAAGTTCATTGTTTCCGTTCTTCACTGAACAACACCAGGAGCTTTGAAAATAAACAAACTCTAGGCACTCATTCACCTAACAGCTTGCCATATCTTGTGTGGCTGGCCTATCCATCTAAAGGCCTAGGATCACCATACAAGTTCTTATTTTTGGGAATCCTTTAATTTGCAGCTTTTCCAACAGGAGAGACCAATAGTCATATCCAGAACACTTAATTGTCAGTGATTACAAATATTTATATCTATATGATTCAGCAGTGTTCCCAGGTGGCCAAGAAAGCCAATGGCACCCTGGCCTGTATTAGAAATAGTGTGGCAAGCAGGGCCAGGGAGGTGCTCATCCCTCTGTACTGGGCATTGGTGAGGCCACACCTTGAATACTGTGTCCAGTTTTGGGCACCTTGATACAGGAAGGACATCAAGGTGCTGGAGTGTGTCCAAAGAAGGGTGACCAAGCTGGTGAAGAGCCTTTAGAACAAGTCTTATGAGGAGTGGCTGAGGGAACTGGGGCTGTTTAGTCTGAAGAAAAGGAGGCTGAGGGGAGACCTCATTGCCCTCTACAGCTACCTGAAAGGATGTTGCAAAGAGGTAAGCACTGGTCCCTTCTCACAAGTAACCGGTGATAGAACAAGAGAAAATGGCCTTAAGCTGCACCAGGGGAGGTTTAGAGTAGACATCAGAAAGAACTTTCTCACTGAAAGGGTTGTCAGACATTGGAACAGGCTGCCCAGGGAGGTGGTTGAGTCACCATCCCTGGATGTGTTTGAAAGTCATCTAGATGTGGCGCTTGGGAATACGGCTCAGTGCTGGACTGGCTAGAGTAGGGGTAATGGTTGGACTCAATGATCTTAAAGGTCTTTTCCAACCTAAGTGATTCTGTGATTCTGTGGTATGTATACAAGTATGTAAACACGAACAGATACACAGATATATAGACAATGTGAACACTACTGAAGTTCAGAGACTTGGACTGCAAAATCCCATGAATGCCCACGCGCCCGCCTACCTCTCTGCCCCTTTCTCATTTAAACTGGGAATAAGAGAATTTGAAGAAGCATCCAGTCAGTTCTACACTGCCAGATGAGAAGAGTCACTTTTCTCCATCAAACATCACCATCTCCATGCTGCCCACATCACAGTTCAACAGGAGAAGCACAATTGCTTCTCTAACAAGACATATGGAAGTTTGTACAATAGTCTTAAGACTTCTGTGTATCTAATGAAACAAAAAAAAAAACCAAAACAAAACAAAAAAGGAAACACAAATTTAAGGAGGTCTCTAAGTCTATCATTGGGAACTGGTATGAGTATTTGGCCAGAGGAGGGAATAATGTAGAAACTATTATTTATTTCAATGTGGTGTAATGATAGTTCAAGACCACTGTTGCCTGGTTCTGAAGTCTAAGTACAATCTTAGGCTGTCTCTTCACCTGAAGACATTTTCAAGATGACCCAGCAGGTAATCAGCAGATCTGGAATGGGGTTTGGCTCCACACCTATGTCCTTGCTGGTCTACAGGCTAGGAGAAAACCACCTAAAGCAGACAGATTGCTTGCTGAGGCACTGGAAGGGAAACAAGACCCCACATAACATCACCCCTTGTATTTCAAGAAGAAAAGAAGGCAAGACTGTATGTTTAGCAAGGGCAATAAGAAGAGAGGGACAATGAAACATTAAGCCACATGCTTGTGCCTCAGTGCTTGGGTTTCCATTTGATCTCTTTCCTCCCACAGATTATGGATTTTCTCTAGAAATAAACCACCAAAACCTTATCAACAAACTACAATTAAAAAGTAAGCACACTAATCATTAGCACTGGCTAAAAGGTTATTCACAGAGCACTTTGAAAACAAAAAATTCTCAGACTTCCAGCACTCAGAGACCACGACTGAAACTCAGCTGTGCTGCCACAGGATCATGGCATCATGTGCAGTTCTTTGCAACTCCAAGTCCCTTACCAAGATGATAACTCTTCTCATCTCTGAGAAGCTGTAGTTACTGTATCTTAAAAAATGCCAATGATAGCTGATGGAATATGGTCCTTCTGGAACCCCAGGAAATAATGTGAAAAGATGTAAATTTTTTTGCATGTTTATTGTTTTTAACTACAATAATTTAAAACTATTCTGCAGACATTATCTCAGAAATGAATTAGTGAACACAGGGAACAAGGGAAGCAGTGAAAATCTTCATGAAAATCTTAATAAAAATCCTAAAGATCACAACACAGAAACTGATTTTTTTCTATGAAATGGGTTTGTGCTCTGAAAAATACATTGTCACTCCAATTCATTTATTTCTGTGCAAACAAAATAGTATTCTGAATTGACAATTTTATTTTAAATGCCCTTTTAAGATCAAACTCTTTTTCTAATAAATATTACATGGAAGTGTCTCCCAGCATCCATTTTGTCACAAGGAAAATTCAGGTAGTTATGATTCCATTAGGTTTCTTGCAGTGGACTGGGCATTTAATCAATGGGAGCAAAGAGCATCTAAATAGGGTTAGGCTTCAAATTCCTTTCTGTGAGAAGTTAAATCCCCATTAGCTCTGAGCCATAAGCCCCCGTGGCTTTAGCATGCAGCTTAAAAGATAACTCTGTGAGGGGTCACGGCTCTTTACTGTAGTACAGAAAGCCTATTTCACAGATGGCCCTGCAATAATAATGTAAATATAATCCTATTTCAGGGGACACTTTATCCTTCCAGAAAACAAGCAATGTTTTCTGTTCCAGAAAAAAAAATAATTAAAAAAATCACATTAATCTTCAATTTAAGGGCAAAGTAATTCCCTGTTTCACTCAGGCCCTATTACAGAGAATTACTGAGGCTTGCCTGGGTACTGTGCTGATGCTGGGGCCAGCGTGGTCCCACCAGCCCTCCACAGGTCAAGATAGAGAGGTTGCACTCAGCAGCTGCTGAACAGCAAGTACAGTTGACTTGGCTCATCAAAACATATTTCCTCACTATGTCAAATGCCAGTCTTGATAGTTACAGTTCAGGTCAAAGCCAGGTTAAAACAGTACAACCTATTGTTTTTCAGAGTCTGTAAACTGCCTGCCAAGTACTTTTTGGTCAACTAATATGGGAGGCTGATAACAGAGTTTGGAAAAGAAACTGGCAATTCCCAACTGAGCTTCAAAGGGCTGTAATGAAATGCAACTCCGTGTCAAATCATCACAGAGAAAACCATTTGTTTAATCAGTGAGAAGAATGCTAATTTGTTTGTATCTCGAATTTATTTCCCATTTGTACTACTGGAGCACTTACCAGGATTAGCAAAGAACTGGCACATGACAGCCTCAAATGCTGTGCAAACACAGAACAAAAAGCTGGTCCCCTCCCAAGGAGCTTAGAAATCAAGTACAAGTTAAGAGACAATAGGGACATGACAAGGAAATAAGCAGGCAGAAGAGCCTATGGTAAAAATAATGCATGTATCTCCCAGTGCTGTTACAGTTCTTTGTATTCCTCTGTAACAGAGACAGCAGAAGCAGGTGCTGTTTGTAAGAAACACTGGAAAATCATGAGGAAGAAAAGGAAATCTGAGTAGGATGACACAGTTGCTAGGATGCATTTGTAATTAATAGTGGCAAGAATTTTCCCTGTGTTATTACCAGCACGACTTTCCAAGCAGGGATTCCATCAAGTCTTAAACTTTCAGCACCATCTCAGGCATAACAGGTTTTTGCAGTGGAGTCACTGCTTGAATTCTGCAGATAGATGGACAGCTGTAGCTGTAGATATAGACAGATATAAACAGAGATATAAAATGGTCTGTCTGAAGCAACCGGGACCACCTAGCCAGACAAAGATGCACCCACCAGAGCCATATGGAGAGGATGACTGGTCTTGAGGCACATGTAATGCAAAGAGGAGTCCTCCATATGTGCAGATAACTGCAGCTCTGCCAAAACTCACCCTTGCTGGCTTGGACTCATATGTTCAGGCCAGCTTGCACAAAAGGGCAAAAATCCTCTCTGTATGTCTGTATTTTAAGTCATCAGAATAATTCTGTTCCAAAAGTAATCAAGCTTGCAAGGCAAAGACAGACTAAAAAGCAAAGGATGGTGTATGTGCAGGCTTGCCACTAGCACAACTGGTTTTCTTTATGCTCCACTGTGGAAGGACTTTTGAAAAGATGAGCTGAAAGCTCAACTTTCCTCTCCAGATCGTTGACACTTTTAGAGAGGCTTGGGGATACACAACAGGGGTAACTATCTGCTTGAGGCTTGTTTACTTTATTTAGTTCAAGGGCAGGTCTCTCTTGCTACTTGCAGAGTGCACAATCAGATTATATCAGCTCTTTTTTTCAACAGCAGCACAGATGGGCACAGCCCAAAAAAAAAAAACCAACAAAAAAACCAATTTCTGCCTCAAAGAACTTCTGATCTCAGGATCACTTACAACTTCTGCCAAAGTCAGTGGGTTCATCTTCACTGGGAATTAGCTCAGGTTCAGTGGTCAAAGCTGAAGATGTGAATAGGCTACGAAGACGGGAAGAAAGGGAACTGAGAGGAAAACTAACACCAGAGGATAGCTGCATGAGTAGCTGTTGAATCCCCATTCCCCAAGAGGTACCCCAAACGGAACCACTGGAAAAAAGTTTTTACTTCAGCCATACAGGACCATGCCTCAGTGCAGATCACAAACGCTTACCTGTCTGTGTCCCCACCATCAGGACACTTCTGCAGTTGCTCCTCTTGCCCAGAAGAGGCTGAACTAAAATTGTTGGCACACTGAAAGCCTAAAGCAAGACTTTTGAGGAGCCCCAAGACTAATCTGCCTGGACAGTTATTGCATTTAAGAAAAGACAGGGAGCTGGGACAGGATTTTAAGCTAGCTAATGGTGGAGGCATGGTTGTGATATTTACCTCTTCTACCATTGGAAGTGCCACAAACTTATTCTCTAGCATTATTTATCCACCCTTATTCTCTGGGTGGGTAAATAATGGCCCACTAGTTACTAAAGTTAGGAGCTGAGAATATTGGAGTGCTGTATACAATCTTTTTTCAACCAAGGGTTATTCTGTAACTGTTTAATTAAGTGCTTGATAGATTAGAGAATGCAAAAGCCTATTAACTGCAAAGAGAGCAGACCAGTTCAGAAGTATGTGCCAGTAAACTGGGTGCTTCTAGGTCACTTCAGCCTCCTCAAGACTGTTTTTCACACCATTTATATTGCACTGCTTTGCCTCACCCCACTAAAGGGCCAAATCATCATGTCCTACAGATACAGGCATGGAAGACTCATGGGATTCTTCCAGGGTGAGAGCACAATCCCTGCACCTCAGTTCAGTTTATGATCACCAGACCCAGCTCATGCTCTACTGCTTATAAGGTTTTTTTCTTAGCAAGCAGTGCCATTAATGATTGATGACCAGAAAGCCATGTTAACAAAAGTCTTAAGGAGATAATTTAGTAGCAACATAGCTACTATATATACTCAAGCCAATAGAGTAATGTATAGACCTTTGCAAATACGTACACATATATATGCATCTCTTCAACATATGCCACATCCCAGGTTGGTGTTAAACAGCGAGAGATTGTGGGCTCCCCATTCCTCTAGAAGCTATTACCATAGTGGAGATATTACCAGATAGTGGATATATTACCAGAAGCTATTAGCATAGTGGTCCTACCCCTTAACTACTGGGACCAAATCTGGATGGTTCCTCTGCCAGGAACTACTCAGCAGCAGTCTCCCCTTCACTCCAGAATCTACCCCAGTCTCTTCCCTGCCTCCCTCCCACAAGCACATCTCACCCACCCCACTGAGTGACAGTCTCCCCATTCAAGCCCAAAACACCTCACCTTCCCTGTTACCCTTTCCCTCAACGACAGGAAGGGCAGAAGCACCCCACGAGTTACATGTCTAGCTACAGTGAATGATGCCAACACATCCATGCTAGAAGTTATAACTACCACTACACAGCAATATTGCCTCCCTGACAAAATCTCTTTACTCCATCAAAAGCATTTGCTACATGTCAGTATTTTCAGATAACTTCACAGGACCTCACCACCCACCACAGTCAGATCAACTTGCAGCAGTAGGTCTGCACTGCTCCATGACCCTTCTACACAAAGGAAGCATCTATAAAAATGGCAATAAGATCCCCATGCCAGACTGTGGCAATGCCCACCACCACATTTCTGGCATGAAGGTGGAGCTAGAAAGAAGTAGAAAACAACAATGTATTGTAAAAATAAATTTTTAAAAAAGGGATTGAGGATTTAAATGAAAAAAAAAATTATCAAAAGAAGGACACACAAAAAAACCCCCAAAAATAAACAACCAAAAACCAAACAGGAAAAAAAAAAACCACCAAAAAAACCAACAAAAAAAACCAACCAAACAAAAAAAACTACCCCAAACACAGAACAAACAGGATAGTTATTGGGGCTGTTACTGAGATGTTACCTAACAGGATGAGAGAAGTCATTACAGCCTGGCTGCCTCCTCAGTATTCTTTACTTTCTTACAGTTTACAGGGCACTTCCAGGTTGTTTTCTGTAATGGTGAATTCAAGCTATATTCAATACAGGCAGTAATTAAATGGTTATAAAAATGCAAAGCTGGAATGCTGAGAAGCCCTACGAGCACCATCATTGGCAGTGATGGTCAGGGAATCAATCTGCTGCACTTTTCCAATGGTTTAAGATAATGTTTGCTAGGATCCTCCAATTGATGCTTTCTCCCCATATCTCTTTGCATCATGGCACAGCAATTGCACAGACATCTGCTGTGCTCACAAGATGGAAAGCTTGAGAGGCTTTCTCAGGAGAAGAAAAAAAAAAAAAACAACAGAAAACTTTGTGCAGTTAAGCCACATTTCACCTTCCATCAAAACTAACCCAATGGGCCACCAACAGCTCCTCTTCCAGCCATGCTTTCCCCTACTCTTACGGCACCTCTAATGACCTTGCTACTTCCTTTTCATGACCACAGAATCACAGAATCATAGAATTCCAGGTTGGAAAGGACTCCAAGGATCACCTGGTCCAACCTTTCTAGGTACTACTATAGCTCATATGAGATGGCTCAACAACCTGTCAAGCTGAGACTTAAAACTGTCCAATGTGGAGGAATCTAACACTTCCCTTGGGAGACTACTCCAGTGTTTGACTGTCCTCATGGTGAAAAATATATCTCCAATCAGAATCTCCCCAGGAGCAACCTGTGACCATTACCCCTTGTCTTTTTCCATGTGACTCTTTGTAAATAGGGAGTCTCCATCTTCTCTGTAGCCACACTTTAACTACTGGAACATGGTAATGAATTCTGCCCTAAGCCTTCTCTTCTCAAGGCTGAACAAACCCAGTTTTCTCAGTCTCTCCTCATATGGCAGGTCCTCCAGTCCTCTAATCATCCTTATGGCCCTTCTCTGGACCCTTTCTAGCCTGTCCGCATCCTTTTTGTAGAGCAGGGATGAAAGCTGAATGCAGTAGTTCTTTTGATGCAGCCCAGGACCCAACTGGCTCTCTGGGCTCCAGCACACACTGGCAGCTCATGTCGAGCTTCTCATCTACTACCACCCCAAAGTCCTTCTCCTCAGGGCTGCTCTCCAGCCATTCTTCCCCCAGCTTGTACTTGTGCCTGGGGTTGCACTGACCCAGGTGCAGGACCCTGCACTTGGCCTTGTTGGACTTCATGAGGATTATTTTGCCCCTTTGGGATAGGTGTACCCCATCTTTTGCCAGGAGCCCCAGTGTCTTGTAAAGCAGCCCATGATCACAGAACTCGAAGCCCTGCCGAAGACACCAGTCACATAGCCAGGCATTGATCTGTAGGCTCTTCCTGTTTATCCCCTCATCAATCCTTGCAATGGGTGGGATACAGGCAAACACTACTTGCGCTCCTGACCCCCTAACCAGCTGTCCCAGGGCCCTGAAGTCTCTCTTCATTGCCCTTGGACTTCTTGTAGCAATCTCACAACTGCCTACCTGAAAAATCACTAATGGATAGTAATACGAGGGCTGAACTAGGGTAGGGATTTTTTCCTGTAGACCCTCGACCCTGGCCCCAGGGAGGCAGCAAACCTCCCTGTGTAGCGGGTCTGGTCTGCATATCAGGCTTTCTTCTCCCTTCAGAATCCAGTCCCCTAATAATAATAATTTATTAAAATACAATGAAGAGTGTGTGGTGACATCTGCCTGTTAGGCTCAAGAACAAACAGGCATATGTACCCCAAAATTTCTGATCAGGGTCTTCTTGGCAGGTGAAATCCTTCTGAGCAATGTGGCTGAGGGGAAAATGGGCTGTACTACTGACTCAGCCCCACACTTCTG